ATTAAAAAGCATTGTTTCATTCGCATAATCACTTAATGATAATTACGTATTTCTTTTAAGTATCTTAATTATTAACTTATTCTTGCAAACAATATCAAAATTGTATAAACAATAGAGCTTAAAAATTTTATAAAAATATTAACAAAAACACGAGAAGTATAATGAACTTATTTTTTAATATGAGATAAAGCAAAAATAAATGATATTTACATAATGTCTTTATATAAACTATGTTCGTTAATGTTACATTTATTGAATAAAGGTATAGTACATTCATCTTAGATTTGTAATATAGTAGATGACATTTCGAAATGCAAAGACACAGATACATTGTAATGTCGACATACTGCTGGATTTATTTCGTAAAACAATCTGTTATTCGATATATTTAACCCGCTATACCTAATTCAGTAAATCAATATGATATAAATATCTATTCTTGCCTTATATTACATTAAAAATAAATTCATTATCATTTCGTCATATTTCATATTTTTATCGTGTCTTTTTAAAGTATTTATGAGCCTATTATTTATGGCAATTTATTATTAGCTGCAGAATATGTTGGAAAAGTTTGCTATGGTTACTTGTTTTTAAATATTCCTATAAATAATATTTTGCCGCGTTGTCGTGTATAAAAATACTTTAAACGCTTTTGTTATCTTTTAATAAATTTTTGTCAAGAATTATTACTTCCTCCTAACGAAGCGGGTCACTAAAACGTGGTGTCTTTCATAAAAAGGATATAAAGGACCAAGGACTAAAAGATTTATTAAAGTTAGTAAATATTTGTAACGATAAATATAAAAGGTACTAGATACGTGTTATATAGAAATGCAAATTCTATAACAACTTATCATATAAAAATTATTTCTTTTTTAATTATGATCCAGATCTTACCCTTTATGATATTAAATTGTTTCCATATATTAAAAAACAGTTCAAATTTATTACACTTTATAAGTATTTTTGCAGATTACTTGAATGCTGCATTGCAATATCTAATAAAACCTGAAAGAATATTTTTAGTAAATAATTTTAACGTACGTTAACGATATATAGGTTATAAAGATCATAAAAAGTACTCGCCTTTGATCGTCAACAGAATTTTGAAAAATAACGCAGCTGTATGCTACAATTATTTAAATATCTTACCATTTTTTATTGCAAATGACATAATAGTTCCTACACTATTATAAAATTCATATACATCTTTCAGGGCATAAAATTTTCGTTTATTCTCTAAATTGATCTAATAATGGATCATTACCCTTCTATTCCAATCAAACTGTGTGTATTTGGAATGTTCGAAATAAAATTACACAAAATATTCATAGATATAACGGAACAAACATTTATTAATAGCTTAATATCAAATTATAACCTTAAAATGTTAATGCACATCTATTGCTTTAGGTTTGTAAAGAATGACATTTCATGGTTTCTTTTCCTCTGCTATTTATTATGTCGAATAAAGAACACCCTTTTATAATAAATACCATTGTTACAAAACAAATGTTTGTCAGTTGTCTCAACGTGACCAAGAGAAAGGTTCTAGAGCACGTGGCCTCCTTACTTCTTCAAAGTAAATTCGCGTGCAAACATCGCTGGTAAAATGCATTCATAGATCGAATCACGCAAACCGGTAAAATTACTGACCAATCCACAAGCGGAGCTGCGTGTGCGTATGTCAACGCGTCGCGGACATTTATTTATCGGCATATGTAAAATTCGTCGTCGTGCACAATGAAGGAAAATTGGGGTCACCAGGTTATGTTGGACTCCGACGTAACGTTCTTCGTTGACGCTCGCGATAATTCGGCACACGAAAGGATCTTGAATAAGAACAGCCTAACCTCTCGTGACTTTATTCGCCACGTGCCGCTTAAGATTGAAAGGGGAATCAGGCTCGATCGCGATTACGAGACGTTCACTCTAATCTGCTGGACAATATATGGAAATGAAAACGACCAGCGCCTTTTTATTCGATGATTAATCGCGGCAAGTCGCTTCCAACCTCATTGAGGAAAAGAAAGTATAGTGTAGTAACCCCTACAATGTAACGAAGTGGCTAAAGTGGTTAACTGTCGAAGTTAACACGTTCAAATATTTCTGCAATCGGATTGGCAGATGCTTGAAAAGATAAATGCCCGAAATCTTAGTTCGGATTTGTAAAATATTATCTATGACTTTTAATGTCGCTATGTCAGTCGGTATAATTACCTTGTTATCGCTTAACCTTTAGACGAATGAAGAAATAGAGAATAATGTTTTTGTAATTTCAATTTATATTTTTAACTGTTCTTAGACGGAAATTTGCTAATTTTAAATAGAAAATTGAAAAAGTTTTCAAAAATTTTAGAAAGAAACAAAAAAAATATTTTTACAATAGAAGATTAGTCTGGTTAGTTTTAGTCGCAAATTGTTAAATGTACCTCTAAATTTAACGATGCATTAGCAAGCGAGGATGAAATGAGATATCATGAATGCTACTATACTTTCTATATTACTTCACGTGTTGTCACGAAACTTTCCTCATCATTTCTTAAAAGTGATCTATCGAACTCGAGCGTCTGTTTTAAATAGGATGCATATCTCTTATGGTTTCGGTATTATTGAATTCTTACTAAATCAGAGAAACAAAAAAAAACTCAGGTTTTTATATTTTTTACTTTAATATATAAAACATACATAATTATTTTAATTTTAATTTTAATTTTAATCGAATTGTTGAACTTCTGAAAATGAAAATAATATTAGACATGACTATATTTACAATATTACATACAGCATTTTTTTTTTGTAAAATTGCAAAAATTGTAATATAAAAAATATGGTACAAAAAAAAAGTATTATTATCTTATAGTTAGTCGAAAAAATATACAGTCCAGAAAAAAAATTCAATGCAAATGTATATGCTGTCTACGCGACAGAAAATGTATTAAATAATCTTGGAAAACAAAAGAATACTTAATGTTCGTAACATTTAATCCTATTTCTAGTACCGCCCTTAACACAAGACAAACGAAGTATTTATCCTGACCCTGCATTTAGGAACTCTAGCACATTTCCTATATCTGAATTCTTCAAAATTAAATGAATTGTAACATTTCATTTTTTAACCTATTTATATACTTATATTAGTTTTGCAATTTTTGTAAATTTAGCTTAAATTACAAACTAAATTACAAATTAAAATTACAAACTTTTAGAAAATTTTTGCTTAACACAATATTTCTCAAGTTGGCGACATTATTTCCTTGAAAACTCGATGCTCTTGTACTTTTATAAATATATAAAATATATAAAACATTTGGCTATTGGCTGAATTAAAATCATGTATATAAAATTAATATCCGTGATACTTTTATTTCTTAAAAATGACAGAACTCGAAAAAATGATACTAAAATTGAACTTTACTCTTTCACAGCTCTTCATTTTGTTACATATTGTTTTACGTTATTTATTTAAGTTCAGATAATAGTTATACTCATTTAGATTAGAGAAAATACTCGAATCATTTAATTTGCATAACACGGACCGTAATCGGTACCGTTATTCAAATTTTTTTAAATTTCACCGATTTAAAAAAAAACCATTCTTTGCATATTATTACAGATAACTACTGCAAATGTTGTCTGTAACTAGTTAAAATATATGAAAACGTGTATAATTATAGTAAAAAATTTATAATATAAATAAAAAAATGGAAAAATATATAATAAAAACTAAATCGATGTTTTTGATATTTTTTTAAAAATCGATTTGGAAATGACGATTGGGATTAGAGTAGTTCCGCATTAATTTGATCATATACAACAATAGTATAGTTTATTTTACACAATTTCCAGAAAACTGGAAATAACCTAACATCGACTTCTACAGAACGATTCAATTTTAAATCACATCGGTAGGTAAGAGAAAAATATGAATGCAACAACAGAGGGCAGTTTTATTTAAATGATTTAAAACCCGGATTTTCAAAACTTCTGTAAACAGAAAAATATACATAATAGCTTTTACTTTTATTTACGATATATATAAATAAATTATACACTGATATTACGTACATAATACAGAGATCTTATAAAATAAAAAGTACAAATCATTTTCTTCTTGTTTGCAAGAATTTTTTATATGAGAATTCAATTTATCTATTTTTAATGCTAAAATATGATTCCAATAATATTAGCCTAATAATACATTTATTATAATAATAATAAAACTGCGTAATATTGCAATAAAAATATAAGATCTTATTTTTATTAAAATCATTTATAACAAGATTAAATAATAATATTGGAATTAAATAAAATGATAATAATGATAATATTGATAACATAAAAATGATAATATCAATAAAATCATAATAATAATATTGATAATAATATATTACTAATAATATCAATAAAATATAATTTTACTAATAAAAATCATATTGTTATAATTTATCTATTTGGAAATCAAATGGGTAGAATTGGGATATGCCATGAAATGTAGTTCACTGAAAAATAAATATTTTTAAATTATATTATACAATATAGACATGAAATCAGAATGAAGCCCAGGGCCCCACAATCTCTAACGACAGCGCTGTCCATCTTTCTCGCACTGGTTGTTTCTCATTCTGGTCTTCAAAATTGGCGGATCGGGAAAAGATAACAGTGGATCGATTCCTGGAACGCCCACTTCCCCCGTAAGTTATCTCATGTATGGTTTAAGCCTAGGATAACTTCAGAGGCAATACTATCGATGACATAAGAGTATCGGCAAATTTTTTAGGAAAACTGGCAATAGCAAAATTATTCGTAATTCTGAATAAATCATTTCGTAATATCTGTGAACAAAATTTTTTATCGAATTATGAATACAATTCGTTGATATATTGAAAATATTGGTACAAATATTGAATTAGAAAGACACCAATGTTTTAGGGGGTTTCTTTTTTTTTAGATTTTCTTGTTTTTTGATTTGGAAAGTGCAAAATGTGCAAAAAATCTGGCAGCGATGGGATTCGAACCCATGCCTCCGAAGAGACTGGTGCCTTAAACCAGCGCCTTAGACCGCTCGGCCACGCTACCCCGTGACTGATGTTTTCTAACAGTTAGTCATCGATGGTAAATTTATTTTCTTCGTATTTTTATTTATATATAATATAGATTCTTCATACTTATTATAGTATTCTTAAAATTTGTACTTATTATTAAGAAAGATATTACTATCGTAATAAAATAATAAAAGTCAATTTTATTACCCAATTTTTTATTATCATTACATGGTCTTTGAAATTAAAAATAGATATACTTATATGTATATTTTATACAAAAATTATTATGAGATTGCATTAACTATTGTAACTACATTTTTCTTTCAAGTTTCATTAAAATTTTTTTATCTTGTACTCTCTCTTTACAACAGGTAAAACGGGTAAAAGCGTTAAATTGAGTTTAATACTTGTCAATTTTTAATTAACTTTCATTATTTAAATTTTATTTATATTTTTGATTTTCTCTGACATTTTTATTATATGTGACATTTATATCTCTAATATTTACTTATTTTTTGATTATATGTTCTTCATTGAAAATATCGCTAATAATGAAAAAATATGCTATAATTATCTCTAAATGTAGATAAAAGGACTTCGATATGATACTATCATATGCAATGAAATAATAATTAATCAGTTTTAGTTGAAACAAATCAAAGAAGTCTCATATGAATGTTAAATTTGCAAACTTTATATGATTTTTTCTAAAAAAACGATACAAGATATTGACATAAAATTTTAACAATATATTTCTTATTATTAGGACTACTAAAACAGTCAAATGCTGATTTTATTTTTGCAGTTACTAAAGATATACAACTATTTTTAGCAAAATTAATAATCATTTAGAAAATGAATTGCATCAAATGATATAGTGTTGAAATCAATTATTTTATTTAAATATTCAGCTTGAAATCTTATTTAAAGCTGATTTTATAAAAATCCTATTTTGACAATTTTACATTTTCTTTTATTTTATATTTTTTATTTGCTAAATTTACTGTATTCCTTGAGAGCAGACAGTCAAATGCAAAGGATTAATTTTTATTGGCATAGAAATGTTTTTGTGACTTCATTTTTGAAGAAATTGAATTTTTGAATTCGTTGAGTATACAGTTGCAATATTTTTAATATAGTTCTAAAAAATGTGCTGAAAAAATTACGTTTAAATTAAGAATTAACAAAAATTAAAATCTCGTAAGTGGCATATACATTTCTTTTAATTTAGGGGATTTTAGGGAATTTTTATATGAAATTTCTTACTATTATTCCCTTGACACGTAACATATTAAATATTACAAACTGTTCATAATTAAAGTTTATGCATTGTAATTTTAAGTATCATTTATCAAATTCATATCGCTAAAAATCCCATTTAATATCTATTACAGAAAGTTAGTAGATAATTAAGAGAGATAACTAGGATCTCATTTAGAGTTTAAGGGTATCTGGATATGTTCCAAATCTGTATCAATAATGGACACAGTGCTTGGAATCGGGGCCAATTTGTAAGTGCAACGTAATTGTGTGCCAATCATGAAGAAACGTTGGTCAATTACACTCAGTTCCTTATTTTATAGGTCAGGTTGAGATATCGATTCTCGAACAGACAATTCCATTTTTCGCTTTCAATTAAATGATTATCCCTAACGTAGAAGGTTCATTAATAATTTGATAACTGTCTGATAATTTTTGAGTGTTTTCATTCTTTTATAGCTTGCAAGCACAAAATTGAATTTCCACAATTAAAAGGAAAGCTAACAAACTAAAATTACAAACTTTAAATTATTAACAAATTAAATTACAAACTAATATCTAAATTATATTAAATTAATATAATAAATTATATTATATTAAATTACAAACTAAATTACAAATTAAAATTACAAACTTTTAGAAAATTTTTGCTTAACACAATATTTCTCAAGTTGGCGACATTATTTCCTTGAAAACTCGATGCTCTTGTACTTTTATAAATATATAAAATATATAAAACATTTGGCTATTGGCTGAATTAAAATCATGTATATAAAATTAATATCCGTGATACTTTTATTTCTTAAAAATGACAGAACTCGAAAAAATGATACTAAAATTGAACTTTACTCTTTCACAGCTCTTCATTTTGTTACATATTGTTTTACGTTATTTATTTAAGTTCAGATAATAGTTATACTCATTTAGATTAGAGAAAATACTCGAATCATTTAATTTGCATAACACGGACCGTAATCGGTACCGTTATTCAAATTTTTTTAAATTTCACCGATTTAAAAAAAAACCATTCTTTGCATATTATTACAGATAACTACTGCAAATGTTGTCTGTAACTAGTTAAAATATATGAAAACGTGTATAATTATAGTAAAAAATTTATAATATAAATAAAAAAATGGAAAAATATATAATAAAAACTAAATCGATGTTTTTGATATTTTTTTAAAAATCGATTTGGAAATGACGATTGGGATTAGAGTAGTTCCGCATTAATTTGATCATATACAACAATAGTATAGTTTATTTTACACAATTTCCAGAAAACTGGAAATAACCTAACATCGACTTCTACAGAACGATTCAATTTTAAATCACATCGGTAGGTAAGAGAAAAATATGAATGCAACAACAGAGGGCAGTTTTATTTAAATGATTTAAAACCCGGATTTTCAAAACTTCTGTAAACAGAAAAATATACATAATAGCTTTTACTTTTATTTACGATATATATAAATAAATTATACACTGATATTACGTACATAATACAGAGATCTTATAAAATAAAAAGTACAAATCATTTTCTTCTTGTTTGCAAGAATTTTTTATATGAGAATTCAATTTATCTATTTTTAATGCTAAAATATGATTCCAATAATATTAGCCTAATAATACATTTATTATAATAATAATAAAACTGCGTAATATTGCAATAAAAATATAAGATCTTATTTTTATTAAAATCATTTATAACAAGATTAAATAATAATATTGGAATTAAATAAAATGATAATAATGATAATATTGATAACATAAAAATGATAATATCAATAAAATCATAATAATAATATTGATAATAATATATTACTAATAATATCAATAAAATATAATTTTACTAATAAAAATCATATTGTTATAATTTATCTATTTCAACAAACAAGATTAAATAAAATAATAACAATAATATTGATAATATATTACTGATAATGTGAATAAAATATAATTTCATTTATAAAAATAATTTCGTAATTTATCTATTTTATTTAATAATATTTTATTTAATAATTTATCTATTTTTTAACATCTTTCTAACAATTTATTAACCTATTATTTTCCTATTGCATCTTCTCCAATGAATAATGTTCCAAACCATAAAATATGTTTAATTGTTGTATAGTTAAAATACTGTATAACCTTCAATCTCAAAATTATTGAAGTAGAGCTGCAAGGATATCTCCTGGAATGTAGCGTACATTAAATTAATACTCGTCTAATATAGTGAATGATTTCACGTCCTTATTGCACCTATCGACTCCCTTCCATCATCGTCAATTTTATCAATTTATAGCGCTGTTATTGCACAGTTTCAATAAAGTTTTGGGACGAAAGGTTTATGTAGATTCCAATAAGACAATTCGACGACGACGTCGCCAGTATGATACGAATAAATACCTAAACGTTTCCGTGCACGTGAGCCATTAGGCTATAATGAAATTTCTTTTTCAGACTCTTCTCCGTAGATCGATGCGTCGCGTCTAGAATGCTCGTTCTGTAAAGGCACGTAGCTTCGTACCACCCTCTTCCTATTCCTTGCTCTTCCCACTTCGCGCCGCTTCGCCCTCTCTCCCGCCCACATTTATCCTCCCACAGCTTCAGTTCCCTCGCTGAAACATTTCAGTCCGTTCCGGGCGTCCACCCGGCTCGGTGCTCCATGTTTGGATTTGTCCAGCGGCATTTTCTCGCGTTTCAATAAGAAGTATAATACTTGATACTTTGTTAATTTCCAGTCAGTCAAAAATACGGATTATCATGTGAATTCTTTTAAATATCTGTTTTCGTTACAATTTATATTCTAAATAAATTCTATCGGAAAAATTCCTAAATAATACATAGTTACGAAAACAATTGTTGTTTATGTGATCGAAGTTTGATCTGCTGATTCATGGATAATGTTAGAATCTATTAACTGCCTCAAAATATTCTTTAGAAGTATTAAATTATAAACTTTCTTTAATCAAAAGTTTTTATTTCACGGTATTAGTTACCTCGGTACAGAAGTTTGTTTTCTCGTTGTTAGGTTATGTTAGAAGTACAAGAATGTTTTCTTTATGAATACTTATCATATTGTTATAATACTGTATACGAAATATGATAGATAGTTAAAGATAATATTTTGTTGTGTTTTAAACACATCTTTTTTTTTATACCGTTCTAATAATAATAATAGTGTCTTTAAGTAAAAATTTTGTAAGAAGGATCATTTCTTCGACTTGGATTTCATCTCGTGGTAAGGTGTCTATTTTCAAGTTTCCCTGAATGAAGGTACGCCTTCTTTAAAGTAGGTGGAAGTTCAATAATCAATTACCCAAAAACTGATAGCATCAGCCGAATAGGGGTAAACACGCTCCAGGACGTAGCTTAACGTTGTGATAGCAGTAGCCGGTATTTCACTAATCTAAGATAACAGTTCTCAACCTTCTTCTCTCGCGTACCACCCAACCAGTATATAATCACGTCACTTTGCAGACTCTATATTTTGTTGTAGCGTAACTCACTACATATAATTTGAAAATTTTATATATTTTGATTCAACTCGCACACTACCTAGGAATATTCACCACATCACTAGTGATACACATACTATAGGTTGAGGATCGCTGACCGGAGAGGTAAAACGTCATCGTTATTTTTTACAATAGATACAATTCCAATGAAAATCGAATTTTTTCAATTAATTATTATTTAATTCACCAGACTAGATAAAGGGCTCGAATTCTGTACTATTAATAAATTAGGGAAAAGTAGTATCAATATTCGTGTAATTGAAGAAACTATAATTCGAGTGATTTTTATTGGTGGATTGCATCGAAAAGGTTTAATAATTTAGTTGTATGCTGGTGATTTCGTAATTACTCAATCTATGCTGTCCCAATGGAAATTATCGTGTCTACGAGTAATTCTTCGAATTTGACTTAACCTCAAATTAAGTCCTAAATATGAGATGAGGTCCATTGTAAACTTAGTTTTGATTTTCGATAGCTAGATAATTAAGTAGAGGAAGTTTGATCGATTAATGTTCCGAGGGAATTTTTACCATCAGATTTTTTCGTGATTCGAAGTTGATAGAGGTTATGTGGTAAAATATTTAATTCCTAATTAAAATTGTACACAGGCAAAGGTCCTCCCACGGGGTCAATAAATCCTCCTCGGACACCGAGCTAGCGCAGGGTAAAAGCAAAAGTCGGAAGAATAAATCGAAGGAAAAATGGCCCTTACTGGAGGGACTGACAGTGGACGAGTTGGCTCGTTATCGAAGAAGGCGTGTACAAGGACAACCGAAAGACAATCTTGGACTTTATGTCGAGGCTGAAAACGAAGATCTGGTGTCCGAGTATCGTGAAGCCTTTCGTGCCAGAAGCGAAGAGTTCCTGAAGGTTAGTATTATTAACGAATTTTATACTTTTAAGATATACTCGAAGAATATTAAATCAAGTAATTTCTAACACTATTTTAAAAACTATTTTTAATTCTCAATGCAGGGTCTGAAGAATTTCACGCGATACGTTAATACCTTTTCTTTTTGAACAATCAACGTGATATTAATCTTCTAGATATCCACGGTGTCCCAAATTTAAAGTCGTATTTTTGTTTGTAATTTTGTAATAAAGCGTTAAACAATTTATGTTTATATAGCATTTTTTCTCGTATAAACTCATGGAATGTACTGACAGAGTTTGGCACCTTAAATCTGGGACACCCTGTATAGTAGTAATACCTTTTAACCTTCGATCTATTATAAGTTTAATATTCGTACGAGTATTCAGAAACTGGTTAACGAGAGTTGAGGATTAAATATAAAGTATAATATAAATTTTGATAACATATGATAACATATATTAAAATTTAAGTAATATTTTATATATAATAAATTATTACCTAAATTTTACTCACATTAACTTAAATATATTTTCTCTTGATCATTAATCTTTTAATCGTTTGAAAGAACCATCTCTTATTTTTCAATCTCCTTTTCGAAAACATACTGTCCTTGGCTTTTAAAAAATTAATCTAATATTAATTTTAAGTAGTTGATATTGTTACAGTTTTTATCATTTCAAAAAATTTTGAATATTCTTTAATTATTTTTTTGCACGTGTAATAAGGTATCGTAATGAAAAAGAATTCTAATATTGCTTGTTTATCTGTGAAAAATGCATGTAATGTGTGTGACTATGTGTTACAAAATGCAGTAGTAATAGCTTCGTTTTATTTCCACATTTCATAGTAAATAAGTCTCTTAGAGTTAAACAATTTTGATTTTTTTATGTCACTGAAGTTTGTACAAATTGTTTCATTTATAACAACTCGAATGGCAACCATACTAAATGTTTGAAATACCCTAACCATGGTTGCAAGCTTGATTATTTAATTATTTGTCTAAATCTTTCAGAATCTAATTTCTGCAATACTTAATTCCCTACAATAGGAATCCTGTTTACTCGTGGAAAAAGATATTTTAATCAACTATAATTTTTTATCACTTAGAAATTAAAGATTAATAATTATTACGAACAGTTTGTTTGGTACTAAGCCAAATTATTATTTACAGTTTATTTTTATACTGCACTATGTTATTATATAACAATACGGTATAAATAAGTGTAAATAAATGAGACGAAAATTAATAAATACAGGGTTTTGAATATCTGTGACTTTCTAAAAATCTGAATCGAAAACAAAATTTGTTCTATTGAGAGAAAGTACCGTATTATCAGCATAATCCGGATTGTTGCTCACGTTAGCATTCATTGTTAAATCATTCACCAGTTCTCAGAACTAAATCCATAAAGTGTTGTTAACCCTTTGCACTCAAGAGGTGACTCTCAGTCAGCGTTTGTTTTAATGCTATAACTTAAATAATGGATGATGATAAATATATTAAGAACATCGAAATAAAATTATTTTATTCGTTCATTTCTCACGCAAATTCACCATTTTCTTTTTTTAATTTTACCATAAAGAGTATCAGTGAGCTTATAAAAATCTAAGAAGAGCTTCGAATTGCATCTTCGCAACGAAGAAATCTTCGAGTCCAAAGGGTTAACATTACTCGAATTTTCAAAAGTCACCTGCACAAATAATCATTCAGGTATCATTTCAAAATGTGGACATTAACCCTTTGACTGCCACGCCGAAATCACGTGTTTCGCTCAGGACGCCACGGGAGTATTTTTATTATTCGAAGCATATAATGGCAAAATAATAATAAATTGGTGATATAAGACAACGTTCTTACCCACTGGAGCGTTTACCTTATTGGCGATCACTGGTGACCACTGTGGCGCCTTGGTAACGGTTGACAATTGACAACTGTCAATTTTCATTCAATTTTCACCGTGGCGTCACAGGAAAAATCATAACCAACGTGGCACTCAAAGTGTTATTGTGATATTGTTACAATATAATAAACAGCATTTTTTAATATTTATTTCGATTTTTTTGTAATCGAAGTTCAAAGCTGACAGTATCTCATGCGAATTTCAAACTTATCAGAAGCTTGAAAATGTTTCCCATAATTTTAATCTACTATTTTGCTTCGAAATTTGCAATTTAGATTAGTTATAATGTTTACAAGATACACGTAAAATTATTCACATTATACCTTTATAATTTTGATTTATATATTCCGTATTTCGATTAAATATTTTTGCAGATATAAGATCAATATAGACAATTGGAATACAACAGTTTTTCGTGAAAATTAAATAATTGTTTGAATATGTTTATTTCAATAATGTATAGAGATAAAAAAAAAATTACAAAAATTTATTTCATAAATATTCAATCAGAATACAGAGTATACATGTAAAAATTATAAAGGCAAAAGTATAAATCTTTACCAGCCTTTTTACCGATAGCAAGTTGAACCCACGTTGGCACGTACAAGCACGATGTCTATCCTCATCTCAACGATACTCGAACCCGTCGCACACTTTATGACACCCGACTCGATCCCTTACTTTCCGTTCGCCTGTTAAGAGGGTATTCTTGTAATCCGGTCATAAAAATCGATTTCTTGGCATCTTTTTCTAAGTTTCTAAACCATGGTACATTTTGGTATGCAATTTCGCGCTCAGATTTATTTATACTTAAAGAATATTTCCAATTTTTTTCTAAACAAAATTATTGAAAATTGTGAAAATTATATACCCTTAGGTAAATCATGATTTTAAAATCAATCTCGAATGGCTGACATGATCCCGAACCATTCGGTTATCTGATACGAGAAAACTAAAAAGCATCTTAATTAATATAAATACGGTTATAGCATGTACCACTGAAATAATGAAATTCCGAAAATTAAAAAATGGCAGCATTTTGAAATTTAAATATCGATTTTCCTTGCGCTTTTCGTGCTTTGGGTGGTAAACAAAAATAGAAAAGTAAATTAAGCAATAGTTCCGATGACTTCTTCGAAAACATCCCCACCCTACTACGACAAGTGCCAAAATCCCTTAACCATCGAACATATCTTATTTTACTGTAAGGAATACAAGGCTTCACGAACCCAGGCAAAGGTTCCTAACTCAGTAAAAGAAATTTTCAACAACACTGAAAACGCCAGTAACACCCTCAGATTCATCCAACGCAACAAGCAATTATATGTATACATTTAGTACCTACCCTAACGGTTTCATGTCGCTAATGACCTTGTTGTCGATGCGACGTTAAGTCCTTAATTAAAAAAAAAAAATAGAAAAAACTTCGGATTTTGAAATTTGCGGTTGACGCAATAAAGGTACATCCGATGGAGATCTCCAAATTTCGAGTCAATTGGTTAACTAAAACGCGAGATATCCTGTCAGCCAGCTCAGAAAATATGGTTTCAAGAAAAACGCGTTTAACACTAGATTTATGGAACCCGTCAATTTGACGGATGTAACAGATTTAGTTAACTTATATTAAAACTGTTAATATTGTAATTGGTTTTAAATTAAACTAATCGTTAAAAAAAATGACACGTGGTTTCTTTTACCTGTCAATTTGACAGGTGTCAAATATGTAGAAATAGGTATACAGATAGCGTCCGTAAACCTAGTGTTTTCGTTATTCATTGTACAATACCTATATGCCGAACTTTAAACATCTATAACCTTGTTAATTTTACAAATTCAAAGAAATCCTTTTACATAGACATTTCCGAAAACCTAATATACACCTAAAATACACCTAATATACACCTAATTCTGTTTTTACACGATAGATACGTTCCAGAAGAATACGTGTAAAAAAAATTTGTGTAAAAAAATATATTGCATCTATGAAAAAATAGAAGATTGGTTCCAGTCCCAAGAAATCAGCAAAAATAATACAATAAACCATGAGTTTTCATGTTAGGATCTTAAACATTTTATTTCATAAAGATTGCACATGTATCGTACAAAGTAAATTATCATTTGAAAAGAAAAAAAACATGTCACTAATTCATGAAGACAAAAATTAGGCAAGATAATATGAGTTACACATAAAAAGATTTTATTCGTTGTCACTTATATTTTAATTATATTGTCACATATTATAGGCTAAAGGGTTATTAAAACAAAGGTTTTAAAACTATAACTTACCATTTATTAACTTTTATGCAAAATTAATTCCTCGTCTCCAATGTCGCAGTTATAAAAATAAAAGTAAAGCAAAATTTTCTTCTTAGAATTTGGGTCGATCGTGTTAAATCAAAATAAGTCGTGTAAAAAAAGAATTAAATTTTTTTCCTAATTCGTGTTAAATCAAAATCGTGTACAAGAAGTTCGTGTAGAAACAGAATTAGGTGTACTTTGAGAAAACGTAAAAAAAAAACAGTTGATTTTCAGTTTTATTTAACCCTCGAGATACGGTAACGGGGTCTCTAGAGACCCTATTATTTTTCGACTGTGACGAAGCTGCGTATGTTAGTGACGTAGTAGTGGAATAATGGTGGGGGTCTTGAGAATGCATTAATGGGATATCGATGTAATAAAATAAATAAATCCTTTTACGTAGACATTTCCGAAAACGTATACTTTGAAAAAATGTAAAAAAAGAAAGTTGATTTTTTTAAGCCGGATTACAAGAATAGTAGCCTCTTAAGTCTACATGGTCCTTTCTTTCCGAATTTAAATATTCGAAAAAGTCTCTTGTCGTTGCCATATTGTTTGCTGCGCCCGAATCAACAACCCACGGATTTCTTTTTTCTTTGTTCTTCGCCCCACAGCATGTTTCTTCAATTTTTAAAGTAGTGGCATGGAAACAATAGTCACTTGAGAAGACAATCCCTATAGCTTTGTTAGATTTTTCCTTTTTGCTCTTCCATGATCTTGTACTTCATGCATTCACCGTTGAAGTGTCCTGACTTTTCACGAAAATAACAGGTCTTCTTGGCCCGTGTAGTTCTCTT